GCGACGCGTTAAGACCCACCTTCAAACGTTCCTGATCTCTTGTCAGCATATTAGTTTCGACAAAAATAACCCGAGTATAGAGCGGAGTCTTTGATAAACTTGTCTCAGATTATTGTTGGCTGTCCCCTGAGTCATAGGCGACCGTTTGGACGGTAGTTCCTTTTTCGCCTTCCTTTGAAAAAAATTTGAAACACATGCCCAAACTATCGTTCTCTGACCTCTCAATCTGGCTCTACACCAGATTACTCTCGGATATCTGTATCGGTTCATTGCAGTCGATCACAATCGATAGGGTTTAGCTTTTTGACCAAGAGTCAGAATCCATAAAATTTTCAAATGATAATGTGCATTCTTCATCGGTTTGTCATATTTTGTTCTACATTATAAGATTGTTCTTGTCTGAACGCATTGAAAAGTACTCGATAGTCTTTAATGTGCCAAGAAAGAACTTTTCTTTTGAAAACTGATTTCACTGCGCCACAGACAACGATTGTGCTATGAAAATACTTTATGCAATGAACATCATTGAATATACACGATCAAATAGAGTTTAAAGACTTGGACAATATATTCTATCTATTCATTGTTGGGTATCATGACAACAAACTACCTATGGGCATAAGACAATCGATATATTCCAGCAAGTCTTCTGCAGACGTTTTTGTCATCAGTTGCGCGTTAGCGTGTAATTCTTGGCAAGGAAGCGCGACTAGTCGCCACAGAAAAACACCAATAGAGTGACAGAAAAACTAATAGATTATTTAATTGCTCTTAGAACCATAAAGGATTGATGGCCTCTCTCACGTTATATGGTCAGAAACATACGAAATGCACAAACATCAACTGCTCACCAGAATTAAATTTTTGACTGATCAACTTCTATGGTGCCACGTTCCACAAATCTACTAATCGAGAGCGTGGCCTATTTTAAAGTATGATTTTATTACGATGATACCTTACGTTTACATTTTGGGCCGTCGAATATTTGCTAAATAGAAAAATAATTCAAGGACATGCATAGTAAGTCATAAACGCAGCCGGTCCTAATCCAGCGGTGTCTTGAGAATATCACCAATACTATGACGTATACAGTAAGAATATCGTGGTCCAGGCCAAGTTTCTAGGTGATTTAGGCAGTGAGAATAACTAAAGTTTGTTAACTTTGTAAAATTGCTAAAAGATTCAAATGGTTTTTAAATGCTGTTATGCAGGCTTATTGCTTTTCTGCCATAGAACGCACTGGAACGGCGTTCCGGTAGCATTTTTGACAGATTTTCCAAGTTATTAAAGTAACTTGTAAATTTGATGTTTGATCCATGTGGACTTGAATCGCACTACGAGCGTAGCAGGTCGGCAGAAAAATCATCAAAACGATGCACGCGGGCTTGTTAACTAACAATAACAAGACGTGAGTTCCTGCTCCTTTTTTCTTATAAAAAAAGCACCGTGTAAGCTTAGAAACAGAATGAAGAAATAAGGAATTCTGGAATCGGCACAAATTTTGCAACGATATTCAAATAAATGGAATATATCGCGCGCGGTTCACACTTCTAGAAAAT